CTCCTAAAGCCAGGGGAAGAACCCTCAGAGTACACAGATGAGGAGGACACCAAGGATCACAGTAAACAGGACTGAACTTTGTGAACAACCAAAGCAAGGGGCCTTCAGAACTGCAACTCTTACTCCTTCCAGAGAATGTCCAGTCTTTGGGTGTGATGCACCTGCTGGGAGAAACATTTCACCAGAGTACAAGATAATGTGCCTCTGAAGACCTGAATACGAGGCAGGCGTTGTTTGTGCTGCCGGATGAATTTGTTGCAGCATCATCCTGAGGAGACAGAGCCTTCTTAACAGCAAGAAAGTCACCAGGTTGATTTTAACCCCTTCCCTCCCTCTCTTCCCTCCTCCTTCCCTCTTCCCTCCTCCTTCCCTCTTCCCTCTCTCTGCCTTCCTGTTCCCCTCCCCTCCCTGTCCCTCTTTTAAAACAAAACAAGAAAGTATCAAGACAACCAGATAGGTATTTGCTACTCAAGTGTGCTGCTCTCTGAAAGCAGCAAGGGATCCTGTTTCGCAGGCTGCTTCATTTGTGTTAAGGGAAGAGCTTTGGGCAGAGGAAGGGGGTTGCACACTCATTTAAGAAGTTAAGGCTACTGAAACATGAAAACATGGATTCCCAAACTTTTCTTTCAGGGCTTGTCAGGGAAGAGGAAATCCGTCCTTCTGAGAAAGATTTGGAAGTTCGAGGGATTTCCAGTGGATTGAAGTCAGCAGTTCCCAGCTAAGATAATTTGAAAGCAGTTTTTTTTTTCCTTCCTTCTGCTAGGTCAAATAAATATTAATTGCGCCTTATTTCACTTCCATAAACTTGAATCACTTTTAGGGAAAGCCCCTCTGTGAATTCAGAAGTCACTAAGAGCAGCATTGAGACTGAGGTTGTCATTCTGTGTAGAATGGAAGAGCAGTACTCAGTGTTAACTGCCATGTGTTACTACACAATAGCTAGCATTGTGATGGCCAAATGCATCCCCTGGGCTTTTTCTTTTCCAAGAACATTGAAAATCAACAACTCTTCCCCAACAGCTGCCTAATTTTAGGAGTCTGACCCTCACATTTGTCAGTGGCGTGGGTGCGTGGGGCCGTGGTATGAATGTCTGTGTGGGTGAGTCTGGATGTGTGTGAGAGCACTTTGGGAGGGACGCTCTGCGATGCTGTAAATACGAGTACCATTTAATAAAGCATGTACAATAAACCAAATTAGCTCGAGCTGGACTCTAAATGCAGAGCCTTGAGCCAGTGTGGCATATACTAATAACACTGCATTTGATTCAGGATGAGAAGGAAGGAAGGAAGAAAGGAAGGAAGGAAGGAAGGATGGAAGGAAGGAAGGAAGGAAGGAAGGGAAAGAGAGAAGGAGAGAGAGAAAGAGAAAGAAAGAGAGAGAGAAAGGAAAGAAAGAAAGAGAGAGAGAGAAAGAGAGTGAGAAAGAAGAAAGAAACTCTTGGAAATGAAAACCTGCCCCTGGTTAGCCACGCTGTACCCCGCCATGCTCATCCAAGGCTGGTCCACTTTGGTAGATGGTTCAGGTAAGATGTGATGTATTCTGTGCTTAGCCTTCGCTGCCAGTGGGTATGCTAGGAGCACCAGCCTTCCAAGCAGGAGCTGACATAAAAACACAGTATTGTGCTGATCGCTAGTAAATCCCTTGCTTGTTATTTGAAAAAGTTATATTTCAGAGCCTGCTTAGACCAGATTTTGGCTTCATCATGATGGATTCTTGGTCAGAAGCAGGTTGCTCCCACATAGAAAAGCCCAGATTTTGGTGACATTAAAAGACTTGTACCTGATGGGTGTAATGCAAGCAGAAGCCATCAAAAGATGCAACAGGAAGCAGAGGGTGCAAAATGCTACACTCTTAGCATATTGGAATAGTCTCTAGGGAAGTGTGGTGATCACCAAATCCTGGCTGAAGAACTCTTGTGAAGACTAAGGCATGTTAGTAAATGCTTTCTTTTTTATGTAAAATGTTTTCTAAAAACAAATTGTTAAAGTATACACCTTACTCTGTAGTAAACTGGTATATCTGAACACTGAGCCTGAAGAGAAGCCCAGGTATTGATGCAGTAAAAACAATGCATTTTGTTTTTCAAAAAGGAAGTGTTTTGGGTTTTGGACTTTAAATAAACTGTATTCTATAGATAAAAAAAAAAGAGTCTCTTTAAGGTATGGGATGCATTCACCATTCATTAGACAAGTATTAAATACCTGAACTATACAAAAGAGACTTATTCCCAAATATTGGAAGAGTTTGGTGTCAGCTGTTGTAGAAACTGGTCAGCAATTGCAATGGTTATCATGGTGGAGGGACAAAGTCATGAAAATGAAAAAGAGGATTTAGGGAGATAAATATTGTTAAAGAGCAGCTGCTTGGTAAAGGACATTATGCTGATTTTACAAGAGAAAATCTGCTCTGATGTCATACTTAAACAATGTCATGCTGCAGCTTTAAGATCATGGGACATGGTTAAGGAGCCAGGTTAAAAAAAAAAAAAAACTCCTTTACTAAAGCAATACAAGGCCCTGCAACTCAAGTTGCAGTATTAATATAAAGCAAAAAGCAACTGGGTACAACACAGCGAATACTCACAATTTGGTACAGCCCAAACCAGGAAATAAATCATCAACAGAGAGAGCCTCACTTCAGAAAGTGTTTGTCTATAGCCTATGTGTGTCCATGGAAACATCACAGTAAGGTGTCTAACATGCCCGAGGTTCAGAGCAGTGGAGTCCAGTGCATCTTAGCTGGCAGTTATAGCTCCAAGAGGAATTAAATCAGTTTCCATGTACCTGTGATGAAGCCTGTCCATGAGTTAAGGACAGGTCTTCAGATCTCCTAGTATTTAACTTTCAGTCTTTCAACCACAAAAAATCCAAATGTTTCTTGATCAAGCCACTAAGACTTAATTCAAGAACAGCCAGATCATTCAAGCTGTCTGAACAACAGATGATATAGCTATAATAATTAATCTTTATGCATATGTTTGTCTGGTATGTGTGTTTCTCTGTAATGTGATGTGACATGTGTTTGTGTGTGTATATGCATGCATGCTTGTGTGTGAATGGATGCTATATTAAAAACTATTTCAGATGGGAGCCATCATCACCCACCATATTTAATGGGTCCTTTTGTAGCCCATGGGATGATGGAGATCTCCTGCCTCTAACCCCATTTCACCAAAAGAATAAAAGGTTTATGCATGTGCACTGTAATACCCATTTGTTTTTGCAATCTGCAGATGTAAACTCAGTTTTCCCATTTGCACTGCAGGCATGTTACCTTCCAATCTAGTTATTCATTCATTTACTATTAGTCAGTAGGAAAGAAAATAACTTGTACTCTTTAACAACCAAATTTACACACACATGAAGGAAAAATATGATGTTCACAAAAGTTAGTTTCATTAGGGTAGTATTTTGCAAATAGTTCTTTGATTTGTGTGTCAAAGTTCATTCCCATGTTAACATACTTTTAGGGATTCATTAAAATGCAATGTTATTTTCTCCATGTTGGTAGGATCTGTGGAAAGGAGATGAATAACATTTTAAGCTCATGAGAAAACAAAACAGGCCTGGCATCTGTGTGTATGGAATGATCCAGAGAAGCTCAGGTTATTTAATAATCTAGGCTTTTCCTCAAGGGAAAGTAGCAATCTAAAACCATCAAAATCTAAGCACTAGGGTATTTAAAATATTAAGAAAAGTGGAATTATGGAAAGGCAGTGATATTCGGAGGAAATACATAGAATAGGACAACTGAAATATAAATGTGAGACAGTTAGGAAGATAAAATATTAAATGTTATCTCACTTTTCACCAAAAATGTGAACTGGGCTTTGGAGAAAATTCACTAAGGAAAGTGCTTGCCATTGCAGTATGAAGACCTAAGTTTGATCTTTGGTACACATGTATCTTTCAGGGCACAGTGGTGAACTTTGGTTCTAGTTTGGGAGTTCTGTAGAAAGGTGGATCCCTAAATCTTGCTGTCTTGACTGTTTAGCCATCTCAGTAAACTCCCTGACAATGAGAGACTATGACTTCAGGATGTGAGTCCTCCCTACAGCAGTAGCACACTCAGTCCTAAGGGGGATGTATCCATAAAACTCATTCAGGGCTCAGGGATGCTGCAGAAGAGGAGGCAAAAAATTCTAAGAGCCAGAAAAGATGAAGAACACAAAGACCTTCTAAACATTGCAAGGCTGATCACAAATGAACTCAACAGAGACTGTGGAAGCATGAACAGGGCCTGTACCAATCTAAGACAGATGGTATACCAGTGCTGAGTGGGGAAGTGGACACAAGCCCCCATCTTTAATTGAGAGCCATCTCCAATCTATCACAATCCGCCATTCCTAACCCAGTGGCAAATAAAGAAATTAGTTCTCTCCAGGGAGTCTCCTTGGATATACAAACTATTCTTAAGGCCAGCTCCCATGCTCAGTAGTAGGTGGAAAACAAAATAAGCAGACTCAGTTGCCTTAGGGAAGTAAAAGTTTTTGACCTTACATGTTTTTTATGTACATCTTATGTTTGGGGTTTTCGTTTGTCTATGTACCAGTGCATCTCTATGCGTCTCTGTGTTTCTGTTCTTTTTCTTTGAACCTTTTTCTTCTGTCTGTTTGTGTGCTTGTTTACTTGTTCTCTTACAGCTTGTTAGTTTTTATCCCAATTTATTAATATTTAGATGCCTTTTGTCTTTTAATAAAAGAGATTAAGAAAGAGTGTGAATTTCAGTGGGAGGGGATTTGGGCAAGACCTAAAAAAGGTTGGTGGATGGATTGCATGAAAACAAACAAAAAAAACCCTATTTTTAATGAAAAAGAAATAATACTTTTATTCTGATTCCAAAAAAAAAAAAAACAACAATAATAGGAATATATTTTAAACACGGGTTATTGGAGTCAGAAGCATTCAAACTGTAAAAGTCATTGCACTAAACTTGCACATACATTATGTAGTATGTGGTATGAGCTTTTCTTTTAAATATTGTTCTACCTTCTGTCCAGGTTTAAGTTGAAGAACTACCAATGTATTTTGGCCATGATGTTTGCCATTGAGGAGATCAACAGTAACCCCTATCTTTTACCCAACACATCCCTCGGATTTGAAGTCCATAATGTCCCATATGGTCAAAAGAATACTCTGGCCAGTATTTTTTGCTCACTTTCAGGGCTTAGTCATGGCATTCCTAACTACAGATATAAAACAGAGAGGAACTCAGCTGCTATACTTACAGGACCATCATGGGCAATATCTGAATACATAGGGACATTGCTGGATCTTTACAAATTTCCACAGGTGAGAGGGGGTAAGGAGATAGAACATGATGTCAGCTCTACTTGATGACATTTGAGGTGGCTGTGAGGGAAAAGAGGGAAACTGAATCACTCTTCATGCATAGAAAAATGATGCAGACTGTTGATGGTACATCTATATTTCTGTAGCTAAAAATAGAGAGAATGGGAAAAGTAGAGTAGACACAGAACACTGTTGAGCCTCTGAATATTTTCTGTGCTTTTCTGGAAAACCCATGGGAAGACAGATTTGTCCTTCAAAACAGGATTGTCCTAAAGGCTTCAAAGCATTTCTGTAGAATTGAGTTGACTCTTATGACTGTGTTCTTGTTTTTTATTATTTTTCTCTACAGTTTACTTTTGGACCTTTTGATACTATCCTGAGTGAACAGAGACAGTTTTCTTCTTTGTACCAGGTGGCTCCTAAGGATACTTCTCTGGCAGTTGGCATTGTATCTTTGATGCTTCATTTCCACTGGATTTGGGTGGGGCTGTTCATCATAGATGATCACAGAGGTGCCCAGACGCTGTCAGATTTGAGAAGCCAAATGGATAAAAACGGAGTCTGCATAGCATTTGTGGAGATGATCCTAGTCAGCAGGGGTTCATTTCTGACCAAATCCTGGAAAAATAAAGTTCAGATCCTGGATTCATCAACAAACGTGATTGTTATTTATGGGGACTCTGATTCTCTGTTAAGCTTAATAGTAAACATAAAGCAGAAGTTACTTACATGGAAGGTCTGGGTCCTGAACTCACACTGGGACAATTCAAAATTTGATGAATATTTCATGTTAGATTCATTGCATGGGGCCCTTATTTTTTCACACCACAATAAGGAGATTATTCATTTTACAGATTTTATCCAGACAGTCAATCCTTCCAAATACCCAGAAGACATTTATCTTCATCTATTGTGGCACAAATTCTTCAATTGTTCATTTTTGAGGAAAGATTGTAAACTTATGGATAACTGTCTGCCTAATGCCTCCTTGGAACTCTTGCCCGGGAACATATTTGACATGGCCATGAGTGAGGAGAGTTACAATGTGTACAATGCTGTGTATGCTGTGGCCCACAGTCTGCATGAGATGACTCTCAATCAAGTACAATTTCAAACTCAAGAAGGAAAAGAGATGGCATTCTCCCCTTGGCAGGTAAGGTCACTTCAATTGAATTGTGATATCAGCAACATGACATTCTCAGGGTTTATAAGTACACTCAACCTAGGAAATACACAGTTTAGATTATTTTGTCGTCGAAATTCTGCAAGAGCAAGAGAAAATGTGTAAGAAAAAATGTTTTAAGTCAATATATAGATGCACTACAAATGGTCATACAATATTTCAGGGTAAAATCTTCATTATGAAAAGTACATTTGTCCCAGTTATTTCACACAACAGAAAAAACAGAGACAAAGAATTATCACTATGAACCTGAACACTTCTAAATGCTTATGTTATGTAAATGATCACTCATAAAATCATCCATTTTATAGAGTGAAATGCTAAATATTTTCAAATTTTAATTGGGTATGATTATATTGTCAAAGAAGGAAGGTGAGACTTTCTCCATGTACTTTTGTGATTTTGGAATGCTTGGTTCTAAGTTTTCTTTTTTTTTTTTTTTTTTTTTTTATTTTTAGTTACATTTTGTTAACTCTGTGTCCCAGGTTCTAAGTTTTCTAATGACCTCATTAGAATGTTTTAGAAACATAATGATGCTCCCATTATCTTTGGGTACCATTTGTTTATTGCAATTAATACCTATATTAAAGTTGATTTTCACATCATGGATTAGAATCAACAAAGAAGTTCCCTGATTCTGCCTCTGATGCACTTCTCTGGAAGTTATGTAACATAAGCATATTCATCTCTTTTTAGCTTCACCATTTTCTAAAGAACGTAGAACTCATCAATCCTGCTGGAGACCCTGTGGTCCTGGACTGGAAAAGGAAATCACATGCAGAATACGACATTCTCAATTTTTGGAATTTCCCTAAAGGTCTTGGGCTAAATGTGAAAGTGGGAACATTTTTTCCAAATGCTCCAGAGGGCCAGAAATTGTCCTTATCTAATCACATGATACAGTGGGCCACAGGATTGACAGAGGTGGGTTGCATCATACCTCAATATGTAAATTTTAAATTTACAACCAGCATGTTGTGACCCTTCATTGCTCAAACAGTACCCTTTTATAGACACATAATGACTACCAGTATGAAGAATTGTCTTACTATCTGGTTTTGCTGGATGAACTATTTCTTTTATAATCTTATCATTTATTTAACATCATAATACAGTATCTTTTTCAGGATGATTTTTGTTATTATTAAAAATCATCTGACAGAAGGTCTATTTTGATCCCATCTTGGAAGGCTCCAGTCAATGGTCTGTTGGCCTTTTGCTTCTAGGCCTCTGCCAAAACAGAAGAGCAAGATGGGAATGTTTAGGTGTGTTAGTTGTTTGTTTTGGTGTTGCAAAAATGCTGCCTAACAAACAATATAGGGGAACTTTTCTTGGCTCAGAGATTGAGAGTATATTCTACCATGGCAGGAAACCATGTCTTTAAGTAGTAAAGGCAACCAGGGAGCAGAGACTGTTGAATGCTGCTATTATCGCCCTTTTCTGCTTTTCATTCATTCAGGGGCCATGGCCATGGCCAATAAATCATGGCCACCCACTTTTAGAGATGGTCTTTTGACCTCAAGTAACCTAATCTAAGAAAGAAAAAAAATCTTTCACAATTATTCTCATTGATTGGTTTCCACAATGATTCTAAAACCTATCAAATCAACAAGATGAAATGTTACCATGGAGGTAAATTTTAGTTGCCTGTGTATCCAGGGGTCAAGATGCAGTGGGTTTGTAGTAACTCCAAGACATGAGACCAAGAACCTAAGTTCTTACTTCTATGCCTCACCTCATAATCTTTCAACAATTTTCCAATGAAGTCATGTTATCAAGGCCTACTGTTTACCACATGGGCCTGTGAATGACTCATCCTAGTAGTAAAAAAACATTCTACTATCTTCATTTAGAGATATTAACATAAACAAATTAATGGTTCTATATTCAAAAAACACTCTACTGGAGTTTTCATAAAAACCTGACCATTTGCTATTATTAATTTTATTCTCAGATTCCCCAGTCTCTATGCAGTGAAAGATGTCATCCTGGATTCAGAAAATCCCACCAGGAGGGCAAGGCTGCCTGTTGCTTTGACTGCACTCCTTGCCCAGAGAATGAGATTTCCAATGAGACAAGTAAATATCAGTAATGAAAACATCCCCCACCTGTCCACATCTGCAATATCTAAGCTAATGGAAAACATCTGTAAGTGAACTGCAATCAGTTCACTTCAGTGGAGATAATCCTCTTCCTGCCAGCTGTTACAAAATCAGGGTTTACAGTTCATTTTTCCCACTGAAATAATACACTCTTGACATTTTGTGTTCCTGAACCATTGTGGATGGTGGCTGCCAATAGAAAACCACTCTAGACCACCTGAATAATATGCCTCATTTCACCATCCATTTTGTCTTAGTTTCCTTTCTCTTGCTATGACAAAGCACCATGACAAAGAATTTTATAAAAGAAAGCATTTAATATACTTAGTGGTTAGATTCCATGTGTGATAGTCTGTCTCTCTGTCTCTGCCTGTCTCTGTCTCTCTGTCTCTACCTGTCTCTGTCTATCTCTGTCTCTCTGTCTCTTTCTGCTCTCTCTCTCTCTGTATCTCTCTCTCTCCCTTGCTCATATATCTCCATCTAGAATTATAAGCCTGTAAGTTATATTCTTTCTTTTTTAAGTTACCTTGGTCATGATGTTTCTTCACAGCAATAGAAAATTAACTAAGACTGTGTGACAATGGGGAAAATTGATACACAAAAGTAGGAGACAGAAAAGACTCACTGTGAATAGCAAGATCCTTAAAAGCCCTTCCACAGAAACACACCACTCCCAAAGGAGCATACCTCCTAATCCATTATTTCCAAATAGTTCCACCAATGGGGGCAAGGCATAGAGATAGGTGATAGAAGGGGGGGACAATCTCAGTAAAACTTTACATTTTATCCCCTGATGCCCATATTCTTGTAAATATATCATAATTTTATTATTTTAGATTTATAATAATCTATATGTTATACAATTCATTCCCAATGCAGTCTCCCCTCCATTCCCTCCTCCCAGTCACCACCCCTATTCCTTCTCACCCAAATTCACTGTTCTTCTGGTTCCCTTTAGAAAATGGCAGGCCTCCAAGTGAGATTAATCAAGCATGGGCATCATAACAAGATGCACTAAGACTAGGAATAAACCCTCATATCAACCATGGCTGACCAAAGCAACCTATTAGGGAAAAAAGGGTCCCAGGAGCAGGAAAAGAGTCAAAATCATTTCCTGTCCATACTAGTTTCTGAAGCTGAACATGAAAACCTAATGATTCAGCTAGTTTTTCAGCTTCTAAAATTTCCTTAAATTTTTTCTTCTTTTATGGTTTTCTTCAAATCTTCTGTCTCATGCTTACTAATATCACTTATTAATGCCCTAAATGTATGAGTCTAAATAATAGGTTCCATGGAAGATTCAGTTTTCTGCATGTCTGTTTTACCCAGGGAACTGACATTAGTTTTCTGTTTATTAACACCAGCTTTTGTTACATTATCCCAGCTCTAGCTTTCAGTAAAGGCCTTTAAGAGTAAGGAATATAAATACAAACAAAGGTTGTATATCAAATTTCCACTAAGGACAGTGAATGATCACTCTAGGTCATCCAAGCACTGTAACCTTGACAAACAGCGCCTTCAGGATGCTTGGCATTGCCAGATATTCTCTGTCTGCCCAATAGTTTGGAAAAGGGTTTGTCTGTCTTGTTGATTTTCTCAAAGAATCAACTCTTACTTTTACTGATTTTTGTATTGTTTTCTTTGTTCCTATTTTACTGATCTCAGTTCTGAGTTTGATTATTTCCTGCCATTTGATTATTTCCTCCTCTTGGGTGTACTTATTTCCTCTGGTTCTAGAGCTTTCAGGTGTACTGTTAAGTTGCTAGTATGAGGTCTCTCCACTTTCATTATAAAGGCATAGTGCTATGAACTTTTACTCTTAGCATGAACTTACTCTTAGAATGTTACTCTTAGCAACAATTTCATTGTGTCCCATAAGCTTGGCTAAGTTGTGCATTCATTTTCCTTCTTTAATTTCTTAATTTATTTCTGCCTTGCCCCCATATAGCTGTTCAGTTAGGGAATTGATCAGATTCCACGAGTGTTGATAATATTAATATTTATTGCTGATTTATCTTTTAGTTAAACATGGGTTATTCCTATGTATACCCAAATCACCACACAGAGACTAGGATTTATTTAATTAACCTAGAGCACAATGCTGGGCAATAATTACTCCAAGCCCACATAGCTTCCTCCCATTCAGATATCCCACATTATAGTTACTTTTTAGTTGTATCTTAGATCTGGTTCATTTCTCTTGATGTTTCCCAGTCCTCTTCTCCTTGATCTCTTCTCCTATTCCGTCTTTCTCCTCCCACCCACCCCCAGGCAAGGATGTTCCACCCTATGTCTCTCAGCTCAGCATTGGCTGGTTGTTTTTATTGGCAATTCAGAGAACAAATAGTCACATGTTTACACAAACTTGAGACATTCTAAGCATCACAATGCAATGTCCGAATTGAAACAAGATAGTGGGTAGAGAAATCAGCATTTGAATGAACAAGGGTAAATTGTACACATTCCACAAGAACATTATACCAACAGTTTATAGGCTTTTCCTTGTATCTGTTATTATGGAAGTCCAGCTTTAATCCATGGGGGTCTGATAGAATACAGGGAGTTAATTAAATTTTCCTGTATCAGTTAAGACTTGCTTTGTGACTATGTGGTTACTTTTTGAGAATGTGCCATAAGATGCTGAGATGGAGGTGCAATCTTTTATGATTGGGTAAAATGTTCTTGTCTGTTGGCTCTAGTATTTCTCTGATTAGTTTTTGTCTGGATGACGTGTACATTGGTGAGAGTGGGGTATTTTAAGGTAGGTGAGGTTTGATGTGTGATTTAAGCTTTAGTAGTATTTCTTTTACAAATGTGGGTACCATTGAATTTGATCAATAGATGTTCAGAATAGAAACATCATCTTGGTGAATTTTTCCTTAGATGTGTATAAAATGTCCTCCATCTCTTTGATTAAATTTGGTTTGAGGTCTATCTTGTTAAATTAGAATAGCTACACCAGCCTGTTTTTTGGGTCCAAAAAAAGCCTGTTTTGCTTGGAAAATCTTTTTCCAACCCTTTACTCTAAGGTATTGTCTATCTTTGATGCTGGGGTGTGTTTCTAGAATGCAGTAGAAGTATGAATCCTGTTTTCATATACATTCTATTAGTCTGTGTCTTTTTTATTGAAAACTTCAGTCCATTGATACTGATAAATATTAATGATCCATGGTTCTAATTACTCTTGTTTTGGTGGTGGTGGTGGTTGTTGTTGTGGTGGTGGTGGTGTGTGTTTCCCTTCTTTGAGTCTTGTTAGTGTGAAATTTATTTCTTGTGTTTTCATGGGTAATCTCTTTGGGTTGGAGTTTTTCTTCTAGTATCATCTATAGAGCTAAATTTGTAGATAGATGTTTAAATTGGTCTTTGTCATGAAATATTTCTGTGTGATTAAAATATCTACAGTGATTGAACGTTTTGCTGGGTGTAATAGTCCAGTTTGGCATCTGTGATCTCTTAGAGTCTGTAAGACATCTGTCTGTCCAGGCCATTCTGGTTTTCAGAGTCTCTGTTGAGAAGTTGGGTATAATTCTAATATACCTAATACTTAATATAATTCTTTCTTTATAGGTAACTTGATCTTTTTCCCTTGCTGTTTTTAATTTTCTTTCTTTGTTCTATCCATTTAGAATTTTGATTATTATGTGGCATGGGGACTTCATTTTCTGGTCCAATCTATTTGCTGGTCTGTAAATTTCTTCTACATTTATAGGTCTGTCCTTTTTATGTTAGGAAAAATGTCTTCTATGGTTTTGTTAAATATATTTTCTGGATTTTTCATCTGGAATTCTTCTCCTTCTTTATTTCTATTATTCATAGGTTTGCCTTTCATAATGTCCAAGATAGCGTGGATTTTTCTATATTAAGAATTTTTAGATTTAACATTTTTCTTGACCTATGAATCTTCTATCATCATATCTTCAACCCCTGAGAGTTTTTCTTCCATCTTTTGTGTTCTGTTGGTGATGATTACATCTGAAGTTCTTGTTTCCTTACCTAGATTTTTCGTTTCCAGAATTCCCTCAGTTTGTGTTTTCATTGCTTCTATTTCCATTTTCAGGCCTTGAACAGTCTCATTCACCTGTTTTTTTTTTTTGTTGTTGTTGTTGTTGTTGCTGTTTGTTTGTTTGTTTGTTTTTCTTGAATTCTGCAGTTTCTTTAAGGGACTTGTTTATTTCCTCCATTTGTTCTTTCTCTTTCCTTAATTTCTTTCAGAGAGTTTTTCATTTCTTCTTTAAGTACCAGTGTCATCTTTGTAATGTTTGTTTTAAGGTCATTTCTTTGTGCTTCAGGTGCACTGCAATATTTCAGTCATGTTTCAGGATAGCTGAGCTCTGATGGTGCCATATTTCCCTGGCTGCTGTTGATTATGTTTTTACATTAGAAATAAGGCATCTGGGTTTGGGGTGATTATAGGTCTGAGTGCTGATTTCTGAGTTCGTCTTTGTTGGATAGGTGTTTTGTTCCTTGGTTTTTGTTCCTTCTTTGATCTTCTGGTCTTTGTGGCCTAAATTTCTGACAGCAGGCTTGACCTCTGGATCCAGTAAGGAGTGTCAGATAAGGTTGAGGGCTGGGCTTCTAGTGACTAGCTTGGCCTTTCTTGCAGCAGGGAGTCTCTGTCCCTGTGACTGCTGTGGCCTGTACCTGTTCTTCTGACCATTCTCTTGGTGTTATTGACCTTTTTCATTACTCTCTTTGCATTGCAGTTTTTCTTCTAGTATTTTCTGTAGGGTTAAGTTTGTAAACAAATATTGTTTAAATTTGATTTGTCATGAAATCTCTTGTTTTTTTCATCTGTGGTGATTGAAAGTTTCTCTGGGTCTAGACATCTGGGAATAAGAAGTTATCTGGGTATAGTTAGGTTCACACCTTCATGTTTTTTTATAGTTTGTGCATGCATGTGTATGAGAGAGTGATTTTTAGTTGTTTTGTTTGATTGTTGGGATGTAGCTTGTTTCTTTTTTTAAAGAGAGAGAGAAAGAAAAATTGTAGAACTCAGCGAACATGGAGTTGGAAAGGATCTAGGAGAAGTTAGGGCAGGGAAAAAGTCATGGTCAGAATGTATTAAAAAGAGTATATGGGTGGTAATGTGATGATTTAAAGAGAATTAAATATATTACAATTAAAATATTGAAAATATGGCCAATCAATCCATAAGCATTCATCATAATCTAACAGTAAGTTGACAATAAATCAGGAACAGAGTGTTCAAGCATTGTTCCATAAAGACATGAGAATATATGAGCAGTTCTGTATCTAGAATTACATAGATAATATTGTACACTTATGACAACTGTGTCACTGGTGAAGCATCTCAAGGCTCCAAGAATTTCAGAATACTAATTCACTCAGGTTCCTTCAGAGAATGAGGAAATTTAGGGACCACCATGTGTTTTATGAGTGAAGGCACATGTGGAATACATATAGGAAAAGATTATAAGATTAGGATTTCAAAGGACATTCTTTCTGTTGCACCAAAGTCTCGTGCCCTCTTAAGAGGAGCGATGTATTAATAAAGAGGCAATGTCACAGACAAATTAGGTTCATGCAACGTATGTCACTTCTCCAGTGACTTCTAAAACAGATACAGAAATGTCACTAAAGGCAAGGAGACCATGGTAATAACAGAGGAAGATGAGGTCAGGCTGTTAATTTGTATTAGCATGAAGTAGAAGAAAAAATGAGTTTAGAATTATTATCTAGAAAGTGCTTTATGTTTGTATCAGAAACAAAGTGAGATGGTTCAAGTAACATTGCAGTGTGCTGAGGCTAAGAAGTGGCTTCAGATAGAAGCAGAAACCTGAGTATGCACTCATGATCACCTGAGTTTCTGGCAGGTATGGATCAGTGTGTGATGTGTCCGGAAACTCACTATGCAAACACAGAAAAGAGTCACTGCCTACAGAAAACTGTGACATTTCTGGCCTATGATGACCCCTTGGGAAAGCTACTCACCTTCATCTCCCTGAGTTTCTCCTCACTCACAACTGTTGTTCTTGGGGTATTTCTGAAGCACAGAGACACTCCAATTGTCAAAGCCAATAACCGAACTCTCAGTTATATCCTGCTCATCACTCTGACACTATGTTTTCTCTGTCCCTTCCTCTTCATTGGCCATCCTAGCACAACCACCTGTATCCTGCAGCAAAACATTTTTGGACTTCTCTTCAGTGTGGCCCTTTCTGCTGTGTTGGCCAAAACTATCACTGTAGTTATAGCCTTCAAAATCACTGCTCCAGGAAAAGTTAGGAGATGGATGCTTGTATCACGGGCCCCTAATTTCATTATCCCCATCAGCACCACCATTCAAGTTGTTCTTTCTGGAATTTGGCTGGCAACCTCTCCTCCCTTTGTTGATAAAGATGCTCACTCAGAACAGAAACACATCATCATCATTTGCAACAAAGGCTCAGCTATTGCCTTCCACTGCATCCTTGGATACCTGGGAGCACTGGCCTTAGGAAGCTACCTTACGGCTTTCTTGTCCAGGAACCTGCCTGACACGTTCAATGAAGCCAAGGTCCTAGCTTTCAGCATGCTAGTGTTCTGCAGTGTCTGGATCACCTTCCTCCCAGTCTACCACAGCACCAAAGGGAAGGTTACAGTGGCAATGGAAATCTTCTCTATCTTGGCTTCCAGTACATCACTCTTGGGCATCATCTTTGCTCCCAAGTGCTACATCATATTATTAAGGCCAGAAAGGAACTCACTTTATCACATCAGAGACAGAACATATGCTAGGATGAAAAATCTTAAAACCTAGCTCCTATGTTTCTTCAATAACATTTTTGAAGGCTGATTGTTTTTCATCATCTGAACAGTCACATAAAAGTTAGAATTTAGCATTTGAAGCCATGGGCTATTAGTTCTTTAGGTAATCATATTATTTCTTTAAGAGAATTGGATTCTGCAACCATTTTCATGTTGAAATATATGCTGTGTTTTTTTTATTTTTATTTTTTATATTAATTACAGTTTATTCACTTTGTATCCCAGCTATAACCCTGTCCCTCATTACCTCTCAACCCTACCCTCCCTCCCTCATCTCCTCCCATGCCCCTCTCCAAGTACACTGACAAGGGAAGTCCTCCTCCCCTTCCATCTGACCCTAGCCTATCAGGTCTCATCAGGACTGGCTGCTTTGTCTCCCTCTGTGGCCTGATAAGACTGTTCCCCCCTCAGGGGGAGGTAATCAAAGAGTCAGCCACTGAGTTCATGTCAGAGACAGTCCCTGTTCCTGTTACTAGGGTATCCATTTGGAGATTGAACTGCGATGGGCTACATCTATGAAAGGGTTGTAGGTTATCTCCATGCATGGCCCTTGTTTGGAATATCAGTCTCAGAAAGACCCTTGTGTGAAGATTTTTTTTTGTTCTGTTGCTCTCCTTGTGGAGCTCCTGTCCCCTCCAGATCTCCCCTTCTTTCATAAGATTTCCTGAACTCTGTCCAAAGTTTAGCTATGAGCCTCAGCATCTGCTTTGATAACACTGCTGGGTAGAGTCTTTCAGAGGCCCTCTGTAGTAAGCTCCTGTCCTGTTACTTGTTTTCTCCTACATCCAATGTCCATCCCATTTGCCTTTCTGAGTAAGGATTGATCATATTACCCTGGGTCCTCTTTAGTTAGCTTCTTTAGTTGTACAGATTTTAGTATGTTTATCCTATATTATGTCTAATATCCACTTATAAGTGAGTATATACCATGTGTGTCTTTCTGCTTCACTCAGGATGATCTTTTCTAGATCCCACCATTTGCCTGCAAATTTCATGATTTCCTTGTTTTTAATTGTGGAGTAGTATTCCATTGTGTAAATGCACCACAATTTCTGTATCCATTCCTCAGTTGAGGGGCATCTTGGTTGTTTCCAGGTGATCCCTGTAGTTTTTGAACTGTAGGACCTGCCCCTTCATGCACTGCAACAGTTCATCGATGGAGTGGGCCAATTCAAAACCCTAGATCTGGGCCTGAGAGGTATCTGAGCTAGTCAGCCTGCCAGGTCTCCTGCCCTCACACCCTCAGGCCAGCTCACCAGAAATACCTGCAACCAGGGCCAGCTCTGCCCTGCTGCCCAGGTAAGGCAGGGTAGAGAGCCCCCTCACCCTAGTGTTGCAGCCAGTGAAGGATATACCCCGTTCTCTCATTCTCATGACCCCAGGGCCAGATCTCCCACCTGCCATAGATGGCAAGAAAAAAAAGGGATGGAAGGAGGACAGCTCTCCCTCATCACCTCCTAATAGATAAGAGGGAGATCTAGTTCTCCAGGGCCAGCTTTACTGTGCTACCCAGATGAGGTACAGAGCCAACTCTCCCAAGTGCTGCAGCTGGTGAGAGACAGGGACAGCTCCTCTGTTCTCATGACCCCAGAGCCTGGGGCCCTGCCTACTTCAGGTTGTGAGAGGGGAGGAAAGTAGGTATCTCTCCCTAGTACACACTACTGCATGAAAGACAAGTGGAAGAGCCAGCTCTTCCATGCTAGTATTCTCAGGGCCTCCTCACCCACAAATCCAGCAATGTCCACTCTCCCAAGTACTGCAGCTGGCTAGGAGCATGGTCAACTCTCTTGCTTTCATACCCCCACCATGCCCAGGTAAGGAGTGGGGCCAGTTCTGCACAGCCTTCGGACATCAATATGTCCCAGACCAGAAATATCCACCTGGCCTTTGGTGGTAACAGACCCCTGCTGCTGCAGGGCCACAGACCCAGACATGACCCGTGGTGGCAATAACTGGCTACTCATATCAGGCTGTTCTTCACTACCCTCGAGTCTCCAGTTCTGCCCCTCTTCATTGTGCCCACATTCTTCTGTTTCTCTTTTCTCCACCACTTAGTCGAGCCTGGGTTTCTTATCTATTTCTCTACCATTTAGTTGAGCCCAGGTTTCTTAGTGTCTGCAGTCATCTCAGAAATGGTCTTAGGAATGCTATGCCCCACTCCTGTGTTACAGAGCCAAGCAAGGGTTATCTCAGACATTGTACACACACCAGGTCTGCAGGGCACTGGAATAGTAGTCACGTCAGACTAGCTCCCTGCTGGCCCCCATGCAAGGGTTGTCTATCTCGGGCTCACTCCCAACCAAGCCCACTGTCTCAATCTGGATTCTTCTAGTCTCCAACCTTTTTCCCATCCTGGGAGCCTGTCCAAGCCTGTGTGATGCCGAACTGGTGGTCATCTCATACTAACTACCTGCCTAGGTTACCTGGCGCTGAAAAGGTGGTTGGCTCAGGCTTACTTTTTTCAAGGAGTGTTGGGTTACTAGTCATTCAGAGGTTCACAGGTCAGAACGCTGAGTGTAGACAGAGCCTCTCTTCTCTCTGTCACCTACTGATGCACATGTGACATGGAAGCCACATCTACAACACCTCTAGGGGCAAGTTATACATTTCTTAATGTTTAATAATTTCATACATGAATATCTAGTTCATTTTTCATTAAATTTACCCCCATTTCCTTCCCTTCCAATTTCTCCAGTATTTCCAGCACAACTTCCTCTTCTCAATTTCATGTGCTATATTTAAAATATAGTACTACCAGTTTCTGCAGAGGTGTAAAACTATCTGTTAATGCATGGGCATCCTCACAGGCCTATACCTGAGGAAAACTAGCTCACCTTACCCCCAGAAGCCATCAATTGCCAATAGCTATTCTACTAGCATTTCTTTAATCTGTCCCCAATCCATGCTGCAATTTTGTCTCACTTGATCACATGCACTTCTTGGATTTGTAGTCACAGTATGTGCCTGGACATTACCACAGTCTCAGGTGGTATCACAGGCCAGTCATCAAGGTGGCCTTCAATGGCAGGACATCAACATGGCTTCAAGTTACTGCACAGACCAGAGACATATTCACTGTTGGCTTGGGCCACGGACATCAACACAGACCCTATCTGAGTAGGACCATGAATGCAGGCATGGCCCTCTACAGCAGCATGGGCCCAGACATCCCCATGGCCACTAAGAGCAGTTCAAGCCTCTCACATCAGGCTTTTCCTCACCACTGTCACCACATGTCTCCAGTTCTGCCTTCATAGTGCACAAACTGCTCTGCTTTGATTTCTCTTCCTTCACCTCACTTCATATTTGCTGGCTTTGCGATGCTTGCCAAAACGGCCAGGTGCCCAGTGTTTTGGCACTTCCCCTCAACTGGGATTAAAGGTGTGCACCACTACTGACAGCAAGAACCTTTTTTTAGGGTTCAACATCCCTAGTCATCAGAGAAATAAATGCAAATTAAAACTACTTTGAGACTTCATCTCAACCCAGTCAGAAGGACCAAGTTCCAAAAAAACTAATATGAAATGTGCTCTAGTGGATGTAGGGAAAAGATAACATTTATTCACTGCTGATAGGAGTAAAAACTAGTTCAGCCACTGTAGAACTTGGTATGGATGTTCCTCAAAAAGCTAGACCTACCATATAACATATCTACATCACTCCTGAGCATATACATTGTCTTACTGAAGAGATACTTGTTTATCTATGTTCATTGCTGTAATACATAATAGCCAGAAATGTGAAACACCCATGACAATGAAAATGCATTCTTTTTACAGAAAAAAAAAAAAAGAACACACACAGGAAAAAAAAAAAACTTGGAGTTCATTTTGTGTTGGGCAGCTACTCTAGATCATGTGCCCTGCACTCTAGTGTTGTTGATAAGCCCAGTGAAACTATATTGAAGCAAACTGGTTTTTGTCTCTCATATCAGGTATCAATTGTAAAGAGCTTCTTTGGTAGCAGTAGGATTTTCACATTTTCTCTGCTGGAGTTTTGTCTTGTTTAAACTTGTGTAGGTCTTATACATTTTGCCCACTCTCTATGAGGTCATACATGTATAAGCTTTATTGTATCTAGATGATGTGATGTCCTTGGAGATATCCACAACCTCTAGCTCTTACTGTCTTTCAGCCTTCTCTTGTACATTGATCCCTGAGTCGTTTGATAAATGTGCCTTATTTAGATCTGAGTGCTCCAAATTCACTACACATTGTCCAGCTGTGAATCTCTCTGCTAAATAATAGCCCCTGTGAAAAGACACTTTCATGATGAAGGCTGTGGTGGTTTGAATAGGTTTGGCCCCCATATTCATGTGTTTGAATATTTGGCCTGTAGGGAATGGCACTATTAGGAGGTGTGGCTTGTTGGAGTAGGTGTGGCCTTTTTGGAGGAAGTGTGCCAGGGGAGGGGTCATGCGCTCAAGCTCTGCCCAGTGTAGGAGACAGTCTCCTGCCTTCAGATCAAGATGTAGAACTCTCAGCTGCTCCAGTACCAAGTCTGCCTGCAAGATGCCATGCTTCCTGCCATGATGATAGTGGAATAAACCTCTGTCGCTCTAAGCCAGACCCAATTAAATGTTTTCCCTTGTAAGAGCTGTCATGGTCATGATGTCTCTTCACAGCAATAAAACCCTAAGATGAGGATTGAATGATACACTGTTCTGTGGATATAGCAATAAATCATTAGGTGTCATTTCATTGTCATGTTCTTTTAGCAAAACAATAGTAGTAGGTGTTTATCCTAGGGTTCATGGCCTATATTGTCAGAGCCAGCCACAGTGTCAAATGGTTCTTGAGTTGGGAGTGAGGATTACAATTAATAAAAAAAAAAAAAAAAAAAAAAAACAGCACACAGGAGGCTTTTTAAGGAGGTCTGGACTTGACAGCTACAGCAAAAAGCCGCCTTAGCAGCAACCTCAAGCCTCTGCAGCAAAACTAACAGCAACCACCGGCCTGTCTTTTTATTGTAAAGTTTTTAAGCCAGAGTAGAAACATCTCAGAACAATGGGTTAATTTCCACGAGGAGCCTAGGAAGAGGTGTGATCCTCACAAACTATCCCACCTGCTGTCACAAACAAAAGGAGATGGACTTGCAAATTCTTCCCTGACTTAGTGAAGGCCTGGTAAAAGCAGTCTCTCCAATGAGATTTAAATATCAAAGCAGCTGCCAGAGGCACCACTCCCAACATGTCCCCCTTTTTTATATTTTTAAAATTGGCCATAACTTAAGAGTTATGGAGCAGAAGATTGTGCCTGTCTTAGGTTGTTTCTCTCGAGAGATATATCTTTACATGAATTTTATCATTCATGTCCCATTCTGGAAAGAATATACCCCAGAGAAAACTTACCCGTCATTGACTACCAACCTCTGCTAGGGTAGACACTGTGGTTTGATCTTGTGCAGATCAGATCAGCTTTGACATACTAAAAGGCCTTTAGGCAGGTTTGTTGCCACTGATAGGAGCATCTCCTATCACAAGCCAAGTCCAAAATAACATTCCATAAAAGTGACTTAACAGGTGACTCCTTGTATAAATTACCAAGTCTGAGAAACATTCACAGGAACCATAATAAAAGGCTGTTGAGCAAACAGAACCATTTGAAAGTTTACAAATACAGTTTGTTAGTTTACATTGAAGTCAAGAAACATTGAAGTTTGAATCTTGTTAACATTTCCAAACAACCAAACAAAAGGAGAATTACATAGGCAGTTACAGGGCCTCCCAAGAGTTTTTTGAAGCAAGCTTATTTTGGTCTGCTGAAAACCAGAGTCAGACCAAAGTTTTACAGTTAGTCCTTTTTTATTCTTTCTGATTTTGTTGAGAATTGTCCTTATTAACAGAACAATCAAGTCCAGACCATTGAATAAGAGGTTTTTCTTCATGATGTCTTCTCCCAGGAGCAGAATGAAACAAAAGCGGGTCAGGAGCTTAAGTCCAATGCAGCTTTTTTTAATCTCAGTCAGGGCAGAATTTACAATTGTCTGCAGCGGGAATATCTTCCTTCTGGGGAACAACTCCTGCAAACAGCACTAGGCTTTCTGGAATCCACCTGGCTCCCTCTGCATCCTGTGGAAAAACACAAACATGCCCTCTTCCCCATATTAATATGGGGTCAGGGCCCTGCCGTATTTCAGTAATCGGATCTTTCCATTTTACTTGGGCATAATTATCTTTGGTTATTAGGGTGCCACAATCGATCAGCCACAGAACGGCCTTGTATATCCACATTTAAAAAATTTAAAATAAAGAGAGCATGATTAATATAATTCTGTGGTGTTTGGGGATATAGCTCCCCCCTTTTTATTTTTTGCAATTGGTTTTTAAGAGATCCATGGGCTCGTTTTACAATTTCTTGGCCCTGGGGATTATATGGAATGCCTGTTTTATGACTTATACTCATTTGTGCACAAAAAAGCTGAAAAGCTAGACTCGTATATCCTGAGGCATTATCAATTTTTATAATGGAAGGAATACCAATTGCAGCAAAACATTTTAAGCAATGACTTATAACATGTTTGGTGGCTTCTTCTGTTAAGGGAGTTGCCATGATAAATCCTGAAAAAGTGTCAACTGTTACATGAATATATTTTAGTTTTTTAAATTCTGGGACATGAGTTACATCCATTTGCCACAAATGATTGGGAGTCAAGTCTCTAGGATTGACACCATAATGAGGTACATTAAAATGTTTAGGACAGGCGGGGCAAGATGGCGGCGCCCGGAGGACTCTCATTCTGAGGAGCAGCACAGCAGGATTGGCACAGTGACCAGCAATCAGAACTCACGGCCATAAAACACAAAGTGATTGTGTTTCACAGGTGAGAGGATACCCCACGGTGGGAGATTCAATCAGCTTTAACTCACCCGGCTAAACCATGGAAGAGATCCCGGTTCTGCCAGGTGCTTGGTTGCCAGCCCAGAGCTACACCCCAGCGTGATCTGGTCACGGTCCCAGACTGAACTGTGGGCCCACAACACCATAGACTGGATTTTCCAGTCGAGAGATAACCCCACGAAGCAAGGAAGACATCCCCTGGAAAAGACTCGGGTTCCTCGGGCGCCCCAAGAGCCAGCCCGGACCCAGAGCCAGGACCCAGGCGCCTGCACGGAGCCCTGCCAAATGCAGGCAGGAGCGCTGTGCTCTGCCACCAATATTGAGTTCCCCTAGGGCACTGGGACACACAGCTGCATCCTCAGACCTACAAAAGCCAGAGAGCCATTACAGCAGCCCTCAGATACTGTGCCAAGGATCAACCAGTTATCCCTAGTTAGACTGTCAAAACTGTGGGAATCCCTGGACCTTCAAGAGAGCTGCACCCACAGTGTCTGGACCAGAGCAGTGCCTACAGCCGCCATCCCAGATAGGGACACACAGCTTCTGGTCCAGAGTGAGGCACCCAGCCTCCATTCCAGAGCAGCGCCCCCAGGCGCCAACCCAACCTAGGTGCACATTCTCCAGGTCCAGAGCAGAGCAATCAGCCTCTGGCCCAGAGACTTGCTGAGTGCACCTCTCACTTTTCCGGACAGAACTGTGCGCCCCAGGATAACAGACTGAGTTTCCCTGTTGGGAGAAAACCCCACAGCTAAGGAATCAG